AGGAAGGAAGGAAGGAAGGAAGGAAGGAAGGAAGGAAGGAAGGAAGGAAGGAAGGAAACTGTCTACTCAGTTAAGATGAATAGGGGCTTCTTGCACTTACATTTTACTGATGTTATATTTGTGTAATCTCTATTTAGGAACTGAATGCTATTAAGTATGGCAAGAAAGCAGGCAATTTATAAATAAAGGAACAGCAATCTTTTTGGCTTAGGGTACCACTTTTGAACAAAGACCAAAGATTTTGTCCCTATTTCAAATCTTGTGAGCTCCAAAATATTACATGTTCTTCAAGAAAAGCAAAGATGACCAAAATACTTTTGTGAATGATTTTGACATTGCCACATATGATAGCCAACTCTTGAAAGTTTTGCCATTTTATGAAGAAGACAGATATATGCATTTATTTAATTCTAATTGTTTAGATATTAATTTAATAGATGGCACAAATATCATTGGGCATCCTGGCAAATGGCCTGGCATCTACAAATTCTAATAAAAATGATACCTTATATGTATAACTTTAATAATCAAGCTTATGTCCAGGGAGCGTATCTAATGAATTTTGTATGTATTATATTGATTATTAATAAATAATATCCAATATTATTTAATGGAATTTAAGTCACTAGAATTCTGAATGTAACAGACAGTCTCAAATATATTTTCAGTCTGTTTAAGAATCTCAGTATCTTAGATGTTGCTTTTTGTGTTATGTTATGTTTCTGCCACTAAATATTTCGTGTGACTTGCATGTGATATACACAAATGGTGCCAAGTTTAGCTAGCAACTTCAAAGTATGTGAAATCACAGCACAAAACAATCAGCCATTATAAGTGTTGAGAAATAAGTTTTATTTATTTAGACTATTTTATAGTTTCCCACTCTCGTGGATGAAAATCAGCAATATGTTTGCTATGGTTAAAAATGGAGAAAATGTATTGTAAGTCTTAAGATGGTCAAAAGAGGGGAGGATCGTTTTTGTTAAATATGTTTTTTTTTTTAAGAGAAAGATTTGGAGCAAGCTTTGTAGTCATCATCAGTCCAGCAATAGTGTCATTCATCACCAAAATATTTCACATCTTGACTTAGAATGAGGTCTTAACCTTGGGTTTAGACACCCCCTGGGAAGTCCATGGATAGATTTCAGGTAGTCCATGAACTTGAATAGAGAAAAAAAAATCACAACTTAATTTTTACTAGTATCTGTAATTTAGATTTCCATTCAGTACTGTAGGTAGGTAAAAAGTAATTTATGGCTTCTTGATGCTAAAAATATTTGTTAACTTCAATAGATCTCACTATCTAAAATTAGCATGTCCTCAATTTTTGTTAAATGATTTGATAATAATTTTTGAGGGTAATTGGTTTTCCTGGTAATGCAATCTCTATGTATTTTTTTTTTAAAAAATCCTTCATTATCCCTATGAGTCTTCCTCAATCTAAGGTCCTCTACCAGAGTTTTAAGGTTCTGCACAGTATTTTAGCTGTTCGTAACTGCACTCTTCTGGACAGAGAGCTTTGACATTGTTTCTGAGATATGTTGGAACCACCCTCCAAAGGTAAGAGTCACAGTCCTAAATGCTCCTACTGCCTCTTGAACTACTTTGCTTTTAAATGTCTATGGAGATTTTCAGTCATCCAGGTCATGATTGTCCCGAAGGTGCTTTTTCAAGAGGCAAATGTACTTGTTTTTTCTTTGAAGATGTTTCACTTCTCATTCAAGAAACTTCTTTACTTCTGACTGGATGGTGGGGAATGGAAGGATTTATATTCCTTGCAGATAGCTAGTCATTTGCATTCTTTTTATAGAGTCATTGAGGCCTTCTGGAGGTTTATCTGAGTTTTCAGGGTCACCTGAGTAGTGCAAATAGGTGTGGAGCCTTCTTGGAACTGCTAACTTTTTTTTGTTGCGTGGCTGTGCTTTCCACAGGATGTTTTCTGCCCTGTGTATCTTCACTGTCAAAGACAGGCATGGGCTGTTGGGGATGAGTCTGTATTGTCTGCATCTCAAACTGAAGTGCAAATGGTTCCTTTGGTCTGAATTTTTTTCTGGAAATCAATTCGTACTCCTGTGCCATTTGAAGGATGTTCATTCCGAAGTGCATAGCACTTCAAGATGTTTCAGCTCTCATCCAAGAAGCTTCTGTGCCTGTCTTCAACAATGAAGTATTACTGAAGCAAAATGTCTTCAAAGAAAAACAAGAAAGTCCAGTTTCCTTTTGAAAAAGCACTTTTGGAACTACTTTGCTTTTACTTTCCATAACCCCTCAAATTCCTCCTTCATGGTCTATTTTCCAGTTTCTCATATACCTTTTCTAATGTCGCTATCATTTGGCATTGCTACATCTATCAACACTACTGTCTTATGGTTATAGTCTACTACTACAATATCTGGCTTATGGCTAATGCCCTGCTTGTCTTTCCAGTCTGGATCTGCAAGTCACACAGGATCTTAGCCCTCCTACTCTCCACTATCTTTTGTGGAATCTTCCATCTGGACTTGGGAGGATCTAAGCCATGTATTGTGCAGATGTTTCGGTACAAAATGCCAGCTACTTGGTCGTGCTGTTCAGTCTATGCTCTTCCTGCCTGCATCTTACACCTGCCACGATGTATATCGAGAAGGAGTCTATAGGTTTCAGCAGACTTTCAAAGAGATCCATGGAAATAAAAGTTACCAACCTCTGATTTAGAGCAAAGAAGATGCAATATCTGGATATTAACAAGCGGATCTTGTACACAGCAATCATAAAAAGAAGGACTCTGTTTTGTGGAATTCAGAGTCATGGCCTCTTAGAAAATAGGAAACTTGGTTATAAATCTGATACCAACAGTGTAATCTTTACAGTTTCTTAAATGCTAAAGTAAAAATAAAATAAACAAAATCAGTTCCCACCATAAGTTCCATCAGTGTATTAGCCAAACTCATATGTGAAGCATTTCCTACTTGGAGAGGATTCAATTGTATATGCCTGCTATTAAGACAAGGAGTTGTCAAGAAAAATAAAAAGTTCTTGCCAATATTAATTCTGCACTGTAAACTGGTTCACTTTCCCAGTAAATATGAGTGCAGTTTCCTGTTTTGTGCTCATATCATAAGCTGGTAACAGAACCAGCTTTGGATCAATTGCTTCCACTTAACATGATAAACAGCATGTGAATTTTATAGCTTGTTCCTACAACTCTTGAAAGAAACCAACAAACCAAGAGCAATGTTATTGCAACTGTTATTACTTTCCTCCCTTGTTAAGAAAGCACATTTCCCAGCCATGCTATGTACACAAGCTGCATTCATGTTACCAGTCTTTGTGGATGGTTTAAAGAGAGACCCCACAGATTTTCTGAACTCATCTGGAATCAGTACACAAAAACCCCTGAGGATCTAAGACATCACAAGCTCTGGAATGTTTTTGTTTTCAGAAATCAGTCCTAAAACTGTAGTATTTTGTCGCACATCTGGGAAAAGTGTGTAGAGGTTACAAAGAAGAACTGAAACTCTTGAGAAAGAAAAGTATGTAAAGGAAAGACCGGGTGGATAATTTACTAGGAAAGATGGGCAGAAACATAATGATACTGCCACAAACATTCCAACACAATTGAAGGCCATTCCATAAAGTTATACTGTGCAAGTTTTGCAGAAAGTATGGTGATATTGGCTAATTTTATACTGTAAGTAAATCATCAACAGGAAAGGGATTATCTTATTCCTAGATAACAGATCAAGTGGTCAAATATTAGGTGGAGAGGATGAAAAATTCTAAGAGCTATTGGTGTGAAATTCTTAAAATATATAGCCATATGGTATGTTCCAGATTAGAGTTCCAAAATTATTTTTTTCTTCAGCCTGTAAGTGCCAGTATTGTGAAAAATATAAACATGTAACAGATAGCCTGACCCAGGCAATTCTATATGGAATGATTTGAACGTAAATCTTGCCGAGATCCAAGAGGTTGTTTTCCTGTTTAGGATTTTAATCTCAAAGAAGCAACTATGTACATTCCATTTAAATAAACTCTAAACTAAATTTAACCTGCTTGAAAAAGACAGAATTTGTTCAAAGTACTATGAAGCATCTTTCTCCAAACTTAGCAGTTCCAAAATTCCAGATCTATGCTACAGATTTTTTTTTTTTAAATGTGGGAGTCACTACATTTCCCCTAGCTTTGTAAATTTTTTAATTGATAGCTTCTATCTGTGGAAATACTTGGATGGGATTTTTGCTTTCAAACATAATTTTTGAGAGGAATGTGAGTGGGGTGGGTGGGTGTGTTTATGTGTGTGAGAGAGGGGGGAAATATGGCTTATCTTTTTAAAAATATATCATGAACCATAAAATCTTAAACCTGTTACATAGTCTTTGAAGTTATTTGTCTACATTATTATCACATATATAGTAATAACTACATTCTGTCTGTCTCTATTTATCTATCATCTATCTATTTTTTTGAGGTTTTCAGCGTGTCTACCCAAAGGTCACATACCTGTGGCCGTGGAACATATAGATATTAAATGCGTAATGCTGTATCAGCAATAGATCTAGATAGAAACAAATTCCAGAAAGCACGAACTGGAAAACTGCTTGTATGGAAAACATAACACTCTGATAGTAACAGAAAAACATGGTAAAATACTGTCTATTGCACTTCTTAAAAAAGAAAAACTTGTCTTTGGTATAAAATATGATGAGAGCGAGCTGAAAAAACATCAGAACAGCTTTGATCTCCTCAAAGCTGGCCAACTGATGGAATAATGTAAAATAGGCTCCTGGAAATTCTCTTTGAGGGAGAAAATGGCAGAAAATTTGTGAAGAGTCAGAAACATTAACCAAATACTCTGTTTTTGAAAATGGATCTGTAAACTCTGGAAATTTTTGATTTTCCCTCCAGTGTTATTATTTGTATAAATAGCTGAAGGTGGTGAACATACCTAATACTCCTTCCTCCTCCTCCTATTTCCCCCCCAATAACAACCCTGTGTAATTGGGCTGAGAGGTACTGGCCCAAAGTCATCCAATCAGTTTTCATGTCTAAGGAGGGACTAGAATTCATGCTCTTTATTTCTAGCTTGGTGTCTTAACCACTGTTCAATTATACATTATTTATTCTTTTAGAATAATCAGTGATAAGTAAGAGTTTATTATAACTATCATGTTACTATAAGGTAGATAGTGATATCTATGGAGAACTTCTAATAGTTCTAGCTACTTCTTGTCCTCTTCCACAAAGAGGAGAGCCAACTCTATTAGCTAAATCTGTGCCCTTTGTGCATTTGTTGTCATCTCTGTTAGTACAGAATCTGCAAAACTCATGTGGTTTCTCTGAATTATTTAGAACTTTGAATATAAAAAATTCTAAAATCCGTGAGAATTTCCTCTGCTGCAGATGTTTGACCTCTAACATGAAGAAAGTAACAATAGATGCACATGGGGTGTAATAGAAAGAGAAAGCAAGCTACTCTTTCCTAACTCATCCCTAACACAATTTTAATAAAGTGTGAAAAGAATGTTTGCAAGGGACAGAATAAGGAGAAACTAACATATGTTGCATCACAAACATGATATAAACATATATAAGATAAAATATTAAAACGGTATCAGATCAATTTCTATTCATAATATATGAATTTGATTGAGTCTTTTTGTGCATCAGATGTTTTATACCTGGCAGTGCATTCATGCGTGGAGCAACATTTATGTTCTTAAAAATAGAAATACACCAATTGTTTTATCATAGTTAGTGACATTGATTGGGGGTGTTTGAAAGATTTCTCAATAATGTGCTTAATTAACTTATCAAATTTATAAGACAAGAAGTTTGGATGGTCTTGAAAAGTGATTTAAAAGGTTCATATCTATTATACTATTCCCTCTTGGGGTAAGGAATATTATGCTAAGTGCAGAAAAATAAACAAAACCATTAAAGGTGTATGATATTCAATTTATACCAACCCCTTTCAACATATCACTCCTTTCTAACCTTGTAAAGCATCAGTGCTTCTACCACATCCAAGAAGGCTTTATAGACTGAATTTTGTTCATTAAATTTCTCACTTCTCATTGTCTGAGAGTCTCATCAACTCCATCTAGTTGATGAGACTAGCTATGAATTTCAGCTTCCCCCTTCTTTTTGAGTTATATACTTCTTCATATACTTATTTTATAATTTAATCCTAATTCATTTTTTCTGTGTGACAAAACCAGAGCCTAAAAATGTTCCAAGACAAAATGTGCTTTCAATCCACATTTATTCAATATCTATTGCATCTCTTATTGTGTTACTACATACATTAACATACATTAATTAAGTGTGAAGGAGCCCATGATATGGTTATGTTGATTAGTTGTTGTTGTTTTTTTTACCTTGAATGCTTATTGTCAGGAGGGGAAAGGGAGCCGGGGAGAGGGAAGAGAGGGAAAGAGAATGTGTGAGTAACCTTGGAAGATGAGGGACAAAATGCTGCTGAGGGAATGATCCAACAAGAGCAAGGAGACAACGAGAGCCCCCAGTGACTTAATTGTCAGAGAAAAAAACTTAGGATGTACCTGCCCATCGGATGGGAAGATCCAAGGTGGCGCAGTGGTTAAATGCAGCACTGCAGGCTACTGCTAGATCAGCAGTTCAGCGGTTCAAATCTCACCGGCTCAGGGTTGACTCAGCCTTCCATCCTTCCGAGGTGGGTAAAATGAGGACCCAGATTGTTGGGGGCAATATGCTGACTCTCTGTAAACCGCTTAGAGAGGCCTGAAAGGCCTATGAAGCGGTATATAAGTCTACTGCTATTGCTATCTATTGCTATTGCTATAAGTTTGTACCTTCATATATGCAGCATTTGAATCTTCATATACTATAGTTACAACAAAGTGGAATTTGCTCATCTACTGTGTTTCTTGTTTCCTGAAGAGATCGTAATTTGAGTCTCATCGATTCAAGGTTACTTCCTTCTGAGATCGGTAAAATAAGGGCCTAGATTGTTTGGGGCAATATGCTGACTCTGTAAACCTCTTAGAGAAGTGTGAAGCAGTATATGTCTAAGTGTTATTGTGATTCCTATTCTTTACAGTTTGCTCATTTACATTGCAATTATCAATAAATTAGACCAAAGATATTAATCTTTGTTACCTGTTGGGGCTTTAGCCAATCAAGGCTTTCAAAGGAGTTGGGTGGTCAATAAATTTAGATAAATGGATAATGTGTTTTAGTAGGATAGAGAAGCAGGGGTAAAATTCAGCAGGTTATGACAGATTCTGGAGAACTGATAGCTTCAGAGTAGTTCAGAAAACTGACAAATACCCCCTTTGGATGGCCCCAGATTGGGTGGGAATGGAGATTTTGCAATATCCTTCCCCCAGGAGTGGGGAGGGAATAGGGATTTTGCAGCATCCTTCCCCTGGAGTGGGATGGGAATGGAGATTTTGCTGTATCCTTCCCCTGCCACACCCACTAAGCCATGCACACAGAACCGGTGGTAACAAAATTTGAATTTCATCACTGTAGAGAAGCCTATACACAGTACCTCTTTTTATTGTTCCTATGCACATGTAACCCTCCCTGATAATGACAAGGACAATGTTGATCAGTCCAGTATTGTATTATGTATAACCAAACTTCAACTTTACCCAGCATGCTCATTCTATTATATCCATGCTAAAATCTTTAATCCAATTTGCCCAAATCCCAGCAACTGAGGAGGTTTTTGCAAGTTCTGATATACTCCAGATGCAGAATAGAGACCTACCTATGAATATCAGCAAAGGAATCTGGAAATAAGATTTCTATTTTCCAGAGCACTGTAATAGATATAATAGCACTGTCAAAGAAAAATACTTACCAAGAAGAATTGTCACTCATTCTGCTTGTGAGATCCCCTAAGGCTTCCATGTAGGGATGCAATCATATTCACAGGAAGAGCTAGCTACACAGTTATACAAGCTAAAGCAATCCTGTATCTCCCAAATAAGGAGGACTCCAGACCTGCACAGAGTTGAAAATTGTTGCTTCATATAAGAAAGCAAAGTACTTTAAAAAAAAAAAGAAAATCTGGAACCAATTAATAGTCATTACTGCAAATATAGTTTGTAGAAACGATCTGGTCTATTATTGTTCTTAATCATGATTGCCACAGGTAGCACAAATATGTCCATTCCATCCCCAACCCATATTTATCTGATCAGGTATAATTAATTTTAAAATAGATTTTGTGAACAATGTATTTGAAAGTGGGCTGCAAAATTAGGATGATCAATAGCTAGTAGCAACGGGATATCTCTATGTAATGATCATCTTCACTTTACAGATCATAAAGGGCAACCTAATATCTAAGCATAAATTGATGATGTTCGATGTCATTGCCTAATTATATCATATCCTGTTTTAAATAATTGAACATGTTTCATAGTTAAAATATTCCAGCCCAGAAATTCCAGCTCAAAAATATATCATGTGAAAAGTTAATACCACTTTATAATGCCTTGTTAAGGCCACACTTGGAGTCCAGTTTTGGTCGACATAAAAAAAGATGTGGAGACTCTAGAACGAGTACAGAGAAGAGCAACAAAGATGATTAGGGTACAGGAGGCTAAAACATATGAAGAACATACGTTTTTCTGCAACATATATTGCAGGAACTGGGTATGTCCAGTTTAATTTAAAAGAAGGACCAGGGGTGACATGATAGCAGTGTTCCAATATCTCAGGGGCTTCCACAAAGAAGAGAGAGTCAAGCTATTCTCCAAAGCACCTGAGGGCAGGACAAGAAGTAATGGGTGGAAAAACTAATCAAGGACAGAAGCAATCTAGAATTAAGGAGAAATTTCCGGCAGAACAATTAATCAGTAGAACAACTTGCCTCCAGAAGTTGTGAATGCTCCAACACTGGAATTTTTTAAGAAGATGTTGGATATCCATTTGTCTGACGTGGTGTAGGGTTTCCTGCCTAGGCAGGGGGTTGGCCTAGAAGACCTTCCAACTGTTATTCTGTATTCTGGTTCTGACCTCATCAGGTATGGTAGACA